TTTGGTAGTACATAAAAAAATAAATAACTTTTATTTAAAATTGTTTTCAATTTATCAACAGATGGCGCTGTAATTCAAAATTTAAGAAAAATGAGTTTCCTTGTAAAATGTATTATTTGAAACAAAAATTAACATTAACAACAATAGTCGGCTATGAAAACAATTTATAACAAATGTTCGAAATGTCGTCATTCCATTTCAACACATTTTTGAATGCGGGTAATGAATTCTGGCACACAACGCGCCAACATATCGGGCGATATCGCCGCACAGGCGTTTCTGATCCGCTCCACCATGTCCTCCCAAGTTGTAGGAATTGCAGCGTAAACTTTTTCTTTCAAGTAACCCCACTGGAAGAAGTCTGGTGGCGTAAGATCAGGTGATCGAGCAGGCCAAATTACTGGACCACGTCTACCGATCCACCGCGGTGCACCGGCCATTGAACTCCCGATCCAACACCTCTCGAGCAATTGTCGAATAATGTGCTGGTACCACATGTTTTGGAGCCCTGCTAGTGGTCCTCCTCCAAAAGGTCCGTCAAATCGTTTTCTAGAAAATTCCGGTACTTTTCGCCATTTAATGCACCGTCAATAAAGAAGGGTCCGATTAATCGTTCGCTTAAGGTACCGCACCAAACGTTTACCGACCAGAGACGCTGGTGCTCCACTTGGTGTCGAAATGGAAGGACGACATTTCGAACATTTGTTATAAACTGTTTTCAGAGCCGACTATTGTTGATTTAATGTTCATTTTTGTTTTTCAAACGTTTCAAATAATACATTTTACAAGGAAACCCCTTTTTCTTAAATTTTGAATTACAGCGCCATATGTTGATAAATTGGAAAAAACTTTCAAATAAAAGTTATTCATTTTTTTATGTACTACCAAACTCTGTGAAAAAAATCGGGTCATTCCATTGGACTTTCCAAAGTTACCCCCCGTTTCACCCTTAAGGAGGGGTAGGGGGTGGCTAGCGGTAGCACCAAATAATGTCCCCTTTGGTCACATTAACCTTTTATTTAAGACATTTTTCCGTGAAATGCGTATTTCTCGAGATATTGAGCTGTCTCAAGTTAAAAGAAACACCCTGTATATCTCCATTATTCGAGCTAAACTAGCAAAACCCCTTTAAAGATTAGTTTTGGGGGTTGCATAGATTCGATTTTTCCACATTTCATCCCAGTTCAAATTGTAAGGTCAAAATTTGTCGCACAGTGTAATTTTAACTTTGGAATGGTTTGTTTTTGCAACACCCAAGCGAGAGGAGTTATAGACAATTTCACGCTCTACAAAAAACATCTGAAGGTCAAAGTTCTTCAGATCAACTTTTTTTTTTATTTATATATATATATATATATATATATACATATTTGAAACACCCTGTATATACATTATATATATATATATATATATATATATATATATATATATATATTTATGTATATAAATAAAAAAAAGTTTACAGTCTCAGTTTAACACAATTAAAGTGATGAGTATGAGTATGAGTATAAGAGACGTATAACCAGCCCCATTTCCTCTTGACTCTCGAACCCCGTACAGGCCTATGTTTACTTACGCCGATTTTTGTTCTTCCCCAGCAACTGCACGGCTTCACCCGTGTTTGCTGGGTGCGAATGTCCATTGCGTTCCGTACTGTCCCCTATTTGGGGCTCGAGAGCGAGAGGCGAATAGTTATAATAGCCATTCCCGGGTTCGCCGAGCCTATGCTATACGCTCGGTGGGGTATGGATGAGGGACGGGAGGGAGTTGGTTTTTGGGGGACAATTACGCCGACTTAAAACTAAGTACGACGCGGAATCCCCCTAGACCAGTCGATTAGTATTACTCCAAACATTTGGGATTACTATTTGGAGTTGGGGAGTTGTTATTTCGCTGCAGGGGTGTATTTTCCTAGTCGATGTCTTTGTCTTGTTCGTTATTGTCATTGTCCGTGTCCTGGTCAGATAGCTCCTGCCCTTGGTAAAGTGTGTCAGTTGTTTTTAGTAATTTTTGTCCCAAGCACGTTTTGTGGTAGAGTTCCGTCTTTGTTTATCAAATTCCAAAGCATTGCATTTATTCACTAGTCAAACAAATCACAAGCGCGATTATTCTGTTGTCTAATGTTTACAAATCTCGAGTTTGGCTATTAGGCACTTTTTTTAATGTGTTAGAATTATGTGATCAATGTTAGTTTACTCTGTCAGTCCAGTGTTTATTTTCGGTCTCGAGTGGGACCGCCTTACGCATTTGCTGTTGACAGACTTATAGCCCCACGCCGCGTGCCCTTCATAGGTTTTAAAGATATCCCAATAAACACTTTAACGATACCTATCACCACTAACATTGCCCGTGTAAGAATTTTTAACACTTTTTAATACAATTTTGCAATGATAGTAATTAAAAACAAAACAATTGTTTAAAGAGTAAAATATGTTCTTAACATAATCATATTTTAAAGTTATTTTAACATTTTCAAGTAAAATAAATGTTATGTTTAATGAAATGAATACGGGCAATGTTAATGGTAACAAATAACGGAAAATGCTTACTGGGATCTGCCGTATTTAAATTGCAGATTTGTATCAGGTCATGCATACTCTTAAAGTAAAACTTATCAGATTTTTCCCCTTGCGGATGGCCACCTCCCCTCTTCTCCGACCTCCCCCGTCCGTCCAGTGAAAAGCCTCCAATGACAGGTGGCACCCAAGTCATTCATATCACCCAACACTCCACTCCTCAATGACCGTTACACCATTTTAGCTTGCACTCCATGAAAATGTTTGTTTCACTTATCAGTTCGCACCCCTTTTTATTTAATTATTGTTGGTTTCATCTTTAAACTTTTACGTTTCAAGAGCTCACCCGCACACGAGTCGCGTGACGCGACGCGTCTTCTCGAGCGCTGGAACCGAACTGAACACAATTAAAGTGATTTTACATAAAAAATAATATAAATATGGCATATGCATTTTATTTGAAAATATTTGAAATTTTTTATTAGTGTTATTTTGAAACGGTTGATCTGACGAACTTTGACCTTCAGATGTTTTTTGTAGAGCGGGAAATTGTCTATAAAACCTCTCGCTTGGGTGTTGCGAAAACAAACCATTCCAAAGTTATAAAAATTCAAATTTAAAAAAATAAAAATTCCTGTGTTATTGAAATGGAAAAAACAACAAATGAATTGAGGCAAACCTTAATATTAATATTAAGGGCTCAAAAGGCGCCAACATTTTTGTTTTTTAATGTACTATTAATTTTTCAACACCATTGGATAAAAAATAATTGTTTTTTTTAAACACCCCAATATATATATACATTGATTAAATATTAATTCAAATTCAGTGAAACTTCTCTATAGGTTATAACAAGTTATAAATCAAATCTAAAGGGACCCGCGAAAAAAAATTTAGAGTTAGAGAAAATTTATGTTGGAAAGAATACACAAGGAAAGTTCGGGTTATAGAAATATTCGAGTTATAGAACTTCGACGTCTCAAAACTGTTAAATAAAAAAAATTGAGTTATAAAAAGAATCGCACCTTGGTGCAAAATTAAATTGGGATATTTCACTATTGCAGCCCAGGTGGGAAATGAATAAATTATTTAGGGCTGTTTTCTAAATTAATTAATTTTAGATATATACAGGTTATCCCGAAATTGACACACCCACGCTATATACCGCGATAGGGGAGGATATTTTACGTATAAAAAATACAAAATTGTTTCCTCAACTTCCTAGTCTTCAAATTATTAACCATTTAAGTTTAAGAAAATCGGCAATCCAACTATGTCATATAATATATGACATATAACAACCAATTTTAGATCTGTGATATTATCACAGAGCTAAAATTGGATGTTATGGAAAACAAGGCTTCTATGTTAACTTAAACTTACTGTGAAACCCATATGGCTGAGAGAGGTATTTTCTTACAGCTTGTTTAAAATTATTTATTAACAAATTTTAATTTATATTATACGTTCATACAACTTTTAACTTTTTCACTTCGACCCACCAAATCTATATTTTAGAAATTGTTCTGATGAATCTTTTTTTAGTTTATTTCTATATATATATATTAGGGTGTGCCAAAAAAACTCGATATTTTTTTTTTCTTGCTCTCCACCCAAAATATCGTAGAATATGTCCAAAAAAATATTATGTTAAAAGCGGAGCTCATAATTTCAATTTTAAGAGGTCCCTCATCGAATCTGAAGTTTTGCCGCTTAAATAGCACAGAAAACTGTCTTTTTTACTTTATTTATTCTTGCAACCTAGGAAGAAATTTTTTTTTCATAAAATCCATGACCAAATCTTACAAAGCATTAAATTTGGACGAAAAAATCTTATTAAGCCGAATTTCTATTTTCATTATTTGATTTTTTACAGAGCTTTAAATTTAAAATTTTACGTTTTTTGCCTTTTTCAGCTAAACTATTGAAGTTAGACGAAAAAGTTAAATGGCAATTTTTTAGCTTGTCTGATGGACCACAAAAAAGTTTTAAGCGAATTTTTTGTATCGTCAATATTCTAAAAGTTACAGGCGTATAAAGTCATCATTTTTGTATTATTAACTTTAAATTTAAAGCTCTGGAAAAAATCAAATAATGAAAATAGAAATTCGGCTTAATAAGATTTTTTTGTCCAAATTTAATGCTTTGTAAGAATTAGTCATGGATTTTATGAAAAAAAAAATTCTTCCTAGGTTGCAAGAATAAATAAGGTAAAAAAGTCAGTTTTCTGTGTTATTTAAGCGGCAAAACTTCAGATTCGATGAGGGACCTCTTAAAATTGAAATTATGAGCTCCGCTTTTAACAGAGTATTTGTTTGGACATATTCTACGATATTTTGGGTGGAGAGCAAGAAAAAAAATATATCGAGTTTTTTTGGCACACCCTAATATATATATATATATATATATATATATATATATATATATATATATATATATATATATATATAATATTGAATTTTACTGCTCCACTGTGTTTCTTACCTACTGCGTCGGCCACGGTCGACTCGTCTTTGCAAGTCAAAAAATGCGAATAAAAGTTCACCATGACGACGCCTTTGTTCAACGCCAACTTCCTCAGGGTTTCGTCGGGAACGTTGCGCGTTGAGTTGCAGAGTGCATGCGCCGACGAGTGACTGAATATCACCGGTGCCTTGGACACTTCCAATGCTGCGTGCATGGTGCGCACAGACACGTGAGACAGGTCCACTATCATGCCCAGTCGATTCATTTCTTTAATAATGTTCTGAAAAATTAATAGTACAAATTTATTAATAATTAATAAATAATTATTATAAAATAAGTGCAATTTTTTTATATTAAATATAGATCGTCTGGAAAATGGCGCATATAGTATTAGGTATAGGTAGGGTTCTTACAAGTTTATTTATGTATGGTAATTTTGTTTGTATTATTTTAATGTTTAAGAAATATTTATTTATAAAAAGATACAAAATAATTTTCTAATGCATTTTCTAAGCATTTATGTTGTGACAACGCTGTTTATTTTCAAAACCCGTGATCCATCCGGATAAATACTTTCATATTGTGTAAAAAATATTTTGCTGTACCTATGTGAGTTTAAAATGTTTTTTTTTAATATTTTAGCAGTTAAAAAACGTACGAACACAATTTTCTATTGCTTTTACCACTTTTTATTGCTATATAAATTGATAATTTCTAAAAATCCTATTTATTTTTATAAATTTCCTATTGCTTTTACCACTTTTTATTGCTATATAAATTGATAATTTCTAAAAATCCGATTTATTTTTAAAAATTCAATATTTTAATAAAAACGGCGATTGTTGAGCGATCCTTAAAACATCGAAAAATGACTTCTATTGTTGAAATGAATACTTAAAAACCAAAAAAATTCATGAAATTTAGTTTCTCATTTAAAGTTGCTTCCCGAGCACTGTATACATAATATTAATTTTACAAATTATAATTACTTTCTGACAGGTAGTTTTAGAGTTATAATGGTTTAAATTTTTATTTATATGAAACTAATTTTATATAAAAGGATAAAAAGAAAATTTTCTAAACAAGTTTAATAATAAGTTACAATTTGTTTTTAATTGTTATGTTATGATAATTTAAAGTTTAAATTTGTTGACACAAACGGTCAGAAAATATAACTGTCGACCATTATTACTTTTTTCTATGCTGTAGATGCGTTGTGTATTTTGTTTTCATAACAAACGTTTTATTTCACTAATCGGCTTAGGAAAACAACGTTTTTTTAAAAAACGCGTTTAGCTTCATAAACTCGAGTACTACTTGCCGACCTAAAATATATATTTATTTCATTAAAGACTAGGATGTAAAAAACTTCACCTAATTGGTCTAAATTATTTTTACAGCCTAGGAGATAATCGAATACTAGTAGTAAGCGTTGACGATAATAAAGCTTAAATTATAGAATCAACGCATGAAGATAAAAGTGTATTATGTATCAAGTTTGATAAATGCCAATTTAGAATTTTAATTAGGCACGAGCGAGTTGCCAGCTAGTGTTTGATAAAATAAGTGTCTAGAAAAGTTTATAAACAAGTTGCATTAATTACTAATTATTAATTAATTTAAATACTTTTATACATCGACCAACATGTAATGGGCGTAGAAAAAATATTGTTGTATACAGCCTGACATACCGGTAGTGTGCAATTTTTGTGACTGTATATCTAAAGACAAAGTATGTTTTTAAATTTTTAAATGTCTCTTCATTTTATGTGTCTACTACAGTTCACGACACTACTCATTGATGTTACAAAACTAACTATTGCTTTTGTCAAAGTACCCCGTAGTGTTTTATTAGAAAATATATTATTTTAAATGGTACACTGACACTAGGGTTTTAAAGTGTCGAAAAAAAAACGGAAAAATTGGGGAAAAAACCTGTTTTTTCCGTTTTTTTTTCAGGCCTTAAAAAAATTGTCTTTTTTGGGAAAAATTGAATTTGTTTTTGAAAAATATACACATTTGAAAAAAGTCGCAATCAACAAGTTAACATTATTTTAAATAAAAAAATTTCCTTTATTACAAAGAAAAAAACTGAACATTAAATTAAATTTAAGAAAATAAACGTAAACGTGAAATATACTGTCTGTTGGTTTTTTTGTTACAAAAAGGAGTCCATTAAAAATATCTAACTATAAAATAATTAATGATTTATAAAGTTAAATTAAAAAATTATAATTTTATAAATCGAAGTGTTAAATAAAAGTTAATACAGCACCGAATAGGTATTTTTGCGGCCCGGTAGAATATTCTTACTGAATTAAAAAAGAGGAATAATTTTTATAATCATAATATTATATGGTTATAATTAGCGTCGGAAATTCACTTTTTTCTCGATATCAGTGTACGGATACTATCCGTAAAAACTTGTAAATTTTAAAAAAATTGACATTTGCATTTTTTTGTATTACCCTTTGAATAAAATTTAAGAAATTAATTGTCAATTGTTCTCAAAATTTCCCAATTTTTCCGTTTTTTTCCGCCGGCTCAATTTTTCCGGAAATTTTAAAACCCTAACTGACACTGACATTGACAATAACATTGGATATAAAGTTGATTAGTGGCCTGCTCATCAATGGTTAGTGTTTTGTGAATTATGGTTACTGTTTTATTTTCTCCGTGTATACACAATATATTTATATACAGGGTGAGTCATTTAACTTGAAACTTTGAAATATCTTAGTTAGTATGCATTTTACGAAAAAATATTTAAATTATATTCGGGTAATTCAACTAAAAATAGGTAGATTTTGTCTAAAACATTTTTTCATATTTGTAATAGATGGCGATAATGAAAAAAATTTTGTTCGATTTTTCTTTTGTATTATTCGAATCTCCAATAATTTTTGAATAAAATACTTGGTTTTATTTTTTAAATTTATTTATTTATTTTTTAAATAATAATTAAAGTAGGTACTCAAAATAACAATATTAAATATTTGCTCGACGAACTCTTTTTCGGTTGAACACTCCCGTTTGTAGTAAACTGCTTGACTGTACGATGAAATGAAGGTCTTTTTCTTATATCCTTCCTAGCTACGTTAATGGCTTGCCACTTAATTTACGGTCTAATATGTTGAAATGGTCACAGCGCTTGTTTAAAACCAAAGTTTTCGATACTCTATTTATGGAGCAGCAATGACACTCTTAATATTTATTTAATGTCTATTTGGGTTTATTTTTAAGTTATTGTAAACTTGGTATTTCTACTTAGCATAATTGTTTTTTTTGTTATACATAGCTATTATTTTAATAATATTGTAGCCGGTATAGCTGGCATTTTTTGGTTGAATGTAAGAATGAATTTTTACATTTTTAATGTTTAAATTCAAATTCCGCCATTTGGAATAATGTATTTCCTTATTTCAATAAAGACGTTTATTATTATTATTAAGTACTTGATCGAATTTTTTCCCGGAAAACGCTGAACCTAGATATTAACATCATCATCAAGATTCCTGCCTGCTTCTCCATAAATCAAAATCATTTCTATTTTTTGCTCCACTGTTAAAAAAATCAATATGAATAACTGCTTAACGAAAGAGGTCTTTTTGTTTGCAAATTAATCTTCGAACTAAATTGATTAAATAATGCTAAACTATGTATAAATAGTTTCTTTAAACCTCAATAATAATTATTATTTATAACTAAATAACATTTTTTTATACCCCAATTAGTATTAAATTAATTAATTGACAAAAAAAAAGTAGTACAATAATCCTTTAAATTAAAGGATTTAATGCTGGCAGGTAAAAAGTGTCCATGGTGGGCAATTTATAATTCACCGAATGAAATAATGTATAAAACTTAAACCAAAGGAAACTTAAATATTAGTAAAAAAATCGGATTTAATTTAATAAGATAATTACTACCAAAAAAGTAATATTTTTATAAAAAAATTATTGCAGAATAGTATAGGAAGAAAAATCGAACAAAATTTTTTTTTATTACAGCGCCATGTATTACAAATATGAAAAAATGATTTAGACAAAATCTACCTATTTTTAGCCGAATCTGCAATAAAAAATAGGGTGTTCCTTTGGAAATTTTAAAGTTACCCCCTGTTCCCCCTATAAGTAGGGGAGTATGAGGACCAATTTTAGTACTGATTGATTTCCCCCCTCGAATCATTTAATTTTTATTTTAAACATTTTTTCGTAAATTGCATACTAACTGAGATATTTCATAGTTTCAAGTTAAACGACTCACCCTGTATACATATATCGCACCGTGAGTGCAATAGTAACCACTTGCGGAATTTTTTGCCGTTCTCTGCCATGGCAGAGAATAGTAGAGAAATTGCAAAGAAACGGTACAGAAATGCATTTCTGTACCGTTTCTCTGCAATTTCTCTACTGTTCTTTGCCATTCTCCCCCGTTTCTTTACATTTACTCTGCTTTTTCTTGCCAGTACTTTTTGGCAAAAAATGATAAAGAATGGCAGAAAAATGGCAAAGAAATGACAGAGAAAAAAATTTCAGTGATTCTGTCTAAATACAATGAAATGAGAGTGGACGCGTAATTAGATGGTTGGAAATGTTGTGGGAACCATGCATAATACTTATAAATCATTCTGAATAAAAATTTTAGTTGCCTTAAATATAATATTGAAACACAAATTTAGTATTTTATAGATTTTTACATTTATACTGAATATAAAATAAATAAATGCGTGTTCAATAATAAAATTAAATCTTAGACACAAATCAAATAAAACAAAGTGGAAATTCCTCACAATGCAATCAGATGTCCATTAAACTCAAATTAGTATATTTAATGTCACAAAAAATTTAACTTACCGATGCATCTGCCTGCCACTTAAACTTCATCAAAATTAAATTTGCATTTAAATTTAAAAACGTAATTAAGTCTCTTCTGAATTATGAATTCTTCGGAAAATTTAAATTTAAAATTAGTTTCAAGCAACTTTTATTAATTTTCAATCGATTATACAGCGATGTTATATCAAAAGCCAATTTTAAATAATAAATGTTTTGTCTGTAGGTACGAAAAATTAAACATAAAAAAATGTTGTGGACGTTATTTATTTAGCCTTTTGTTATCAAAGTGGCTGTCAAAAAACTAAACTATTTAAAAAGTAAACAACTGACTTCAAAAGCTTCATGAATAAATTTGCTTTGAATGAATAGTCTGCAAACTTGCCTAACTATAAAGTCTAAACACAAGTTTTTTATTAAAACAATATCAAAGGCTAGGAGATAG